AAGAATGTCGGAGCAATTACGCATGTCTCGCGTGTAACTGATAATTGATATCGAAGATTCCTGTCCGTGGTAACGAAATAATTGACGAGGCCTGCGCGATTGGAATCGAGCGTGTGCCCCTCTGGTATCGTTCGATCGTTCGATCGTTCGATCGTTCGACGATTCTCTCTAGCCGTGACACGCGGTAACCATGTTCGTCGTACGGAGAACCCGTTTAACCATAAATGAAAACACGACGAGCAACATCGCCACGCGATTCCTCTCTTTAACTCTCCTCGCCCGGCAGATCTTTCGAAACTGAATCGGATTTACGTCGATACGTTCAATCAGAATTCGTGGCCAAAAATGGCGGTATCGTAGATCGTAAAAATGCCCTCGTTCTTTTACCGGACGAGTTGGGTTTCTAGGGGGTATCGAAGGCCTCTCTATCGTTCCAAGATCGTAATCGCAGAAATTGCCCACTTCGACCATGTTACTTTATTCCTATCTCTCGCGAATGTTTTCCACCAGGCTCTACCCTCGTTTTCTGGTAGAGAAAGAAGCACACTTCGACCGGACAAACGTGGCCGCGTGTTTATTTCAAAAGACAGGGTTCGCGAGTTATCCTACTTTCGCCGGTGCACACGCGGCGGAAGTTATGAGGTCGCGACTCGCCGCGGAACCTGGTCGCGATGCATCATCCGATTTCTTTTCAACGCGCGTCACGCTGATTAACACTTTACCTGCGAGTCACGTAATTTTCCGCGTTCTCAGTTTTTTCCCTATTTAGACAAGCTGCGATTAATTGGAATTTATATCGAGACTCGGGAAGATTGAACCCAGTTGAAGTTACGACGGGTTGAGGAAATTTAGAAACCTTCTGTTTGCGATTCGGCGGCTCTGCGCCTCTGCAGTCTCTACTATCGTTGTTTCTGTAGGTAAAAGTATAATGCGCGTGTCACTATAGCCGTGGCAAATGGGTTAGGAGCGCGGCGAATCGCGGGGACGAAAGAAAGAGCAGCAAGTGGCAGAGCCGGTACCTTGTTTCCTAACGTTGTCTCGCGCGCAGCAGAGTATAATCGCGCCGGTTTACGACTCGTTCCAGCAAATGATAATAATTGACCTAATTGCGGCAAATGAGCCGTTCGCTTAAATACGCCGTATAACTCGCGATTTGCGGCTGCCGTTTGCGAAATAAGATTAATAGCGAGCCGTCTGGCGGGGAGGGGGAGCCGATGATCGATCGCGCGCGTTTTATCGCGGCAATTTCGTAAGGTAACAATAGAGGCCTGCTTTTTAACGGGAGCCCGGTGATTTGTGCCTCTCGAGTCGACGAAAACTGTTACTTCGCCAGCGGCCAATTGCTACGGACTACGATACGACCGTTCCAATATCGTTTCTTGCGTAAATTTCTAAAGTGATTTATCGATCGGTTGTTCCGTCTTATCGATAACTGCACGTTCGACCTTACGAGATTCGGTGAAAATTCACGGAGGAGCATCTCAAGGGTTTCCACGTTGCTCGGAGCCCGTGAAAGTTGCCCCGGAGTAACGCGAAACTGAAGTTCGATTGAACAAAAAAAAAGCGAGGGAAAAAAAGGAAAAAGAGTGCAGGGGAATGGGTTCCCGGTTGCTTTCACTCGGGCTTCAGGATAGAGCAGCCTTCGAGCGTGGCCGCAGCACGCGCGACTGGTTTATTGCATCTTAATAAACGCGAGACCTTGCGCGAACCATCGCGAGACGTCTATACGAAAATATCGAAACGAGATCGTTCCACGTTTCGCCCGTTTAATTGGCCACGGCGAATGAGCATCCAGTGAGAAATGTCGTGACAAAAAGAAAGAGAAAAAAAAAGGAGAAGGAGGAGTAGGCTAGCGAATCGTTGCGAAACACCAGGGATGAGACAACGCGTCTTAGTTTCCTTTTTCGGACTACGGTTTCCAGAGGAAATTCGAAATTGTGAAAAATATTAGCCGTTACGTTCAGAAGAGGACCGTCGAAATCACGCGTGACGATCGTCCACGAAGATTCAACCAATGAGTCAACTCTGCCCGGGTACTTTTTCTCAGAGAAATGCCAGCTTACGCAACGCCAGACACATCCAGAAGACACTGGCTACGATTTCAGCAAAACTCTATCGTAACAAATTCCTTTTGTTTTTGCCCGGTGGATCGATTAAGTGTCTCGCAAAGGCGCTTATTATTCGACCAGCGAAACGACGACAGGCAAAAAGCGCGAGAAATCGCGGGGCGATCGCGTTACGAGATTGCACGGCATTCGTCAACACTATTTATATCGGTTACACCAACTTCCTCTCTAGGGGTAACGTTATCGTACCACTGGCCTGCGTAAACAGCATTTCGGAGGTCTCTTCGCAAGAGACATCGGACTTTACCGCCTCTTTCGCTATGATACGAGTCTCTTCGCTGCAAATTCGTCAATTTCAAAATGTATCTTGAATCGAACGAAACAGGAACCCTTTCTTCTTACATCCTCCAAAAAGAAATATTGACCAAATTCGGAAAAAAATGATTGCACACTCGAGAGTTGGAAAATATAAACTCCACCAAGTGGAAGCACAAAAGCTCGAAAACAGACCCTTTCTTTTTTAAATCTACCTCTATCGACCCTTTAATGAGACACCTTCCCTGAGACACTCGAGAGTTTGAAAATACAAACTCTACCAGCTCTTTCACTATGGTACAAGTCTCTTCCTAAAACCTTGACCACACTAGAATAGAAATCATGGCCCCCTATCAACCCTTTAATTTACCCTTCCCCGAGACACTCGAGAGTTCTCTCATACAAACTCCAAGCGTAAAAGCTCGAAAACTCGGAGATTCTCTGTGAGAAATCTGATAAAGCGGAACCCTAAGTAAGCAGAAGCTGGTGAATCTTTATCGAGAACACAGAATAAGGTATGGAGTGAACCAGGCTCGCCTGGAGGGTTGAAATCGACGCTAGCGTGTCGACTGGCTGGAATCAGGGTCTGGCTGGATGGAGTCGCGTTGCCATAGGCCGGTATAGGTATCGCGTTACCTCGGTGCACCGGCCTCGGCGTTAAGACACCTAATTGCACGTTATGTTCGACGCGCACGTACGCACACCATCGTGCCCCTTACCGAATGGTAATGCTCTCGCGGTGGCCACCTTGGCAGACAGGAAAGTGGGTGAACCCGTGGCTCTTATTTGTGGCGAGGCGACCGGCGCGGCGTGCGTACGCGTTTCCCTTGTCGTCTCGAGACTCTCTCCTTTTTTTCTCCCTTCCTTCTTCCCTCTAGGCCCGTGTCGAGCTTTCCACCCAAGGATTTCTATCGTGTAAGGGAACTCGAGCTTCTCTCTAACAGGGAGGAGTAACTCGTCGTCCAATTAGACGCGAATTTTCGTTTCTTTTTAGAGAAAGCTCGTACGTACGTGCGATTCGATTCGATTCGATTCGGTTCGGTTCGTTGATTAATTACCGGGGAATATCAACAGGCGTAGAATTTTATCGCGATGACCATAGACGATAAGTGATACAATCTAATGATAACTCGGTGAAGCGAGGAAAAAATATACCTATTTATGTTGCATCGCTCGCGCTCGTTTCTACCGGTGTACCCTTCTTCCCAACACAAGCTGCGAGAGACTTTTATGTGAAATTACACATGGGGAAATGCCGCGTTTCCAACAAATATTCCACGAGGAGAAGCGACACGCGAGGTTGCACGATATAAATCCGGACGATCGATGTCCTCTTGGTAACCATTCCCGAGGACACTTGGTTTCGTTCAACAAGACCAACAACTCCAAGATGACGAACCTTTCTACTTACGTGCTTACCGTAGAAATAGATTCCAATGCAATTCGTAACCTTACCGATAACCAGCGAAATCGAAATCTATAGGTCGATGCATGTCACGTGATTTAATCGATAGTAATGGCCGCCGAAAAAACGTTCACGTAGGGTGAACCGCATTGCGGAAGCGAGGGGGGGGAAAAAATATATTTAACGTAGGGGATATATGTACGTGTTAGAGTGACGAATAGACGACAACGGAAAGTATACCGATCCTATGTACGCTTGGACGAGAAGTAACGACACCGTTCAAGGGCGACGTATGTATGTACTGGGTTACGCGGGCCAAGGCCCGATTACGCGTACACATGTCAAATGATGGTTTTTAAATAACCTTCGCTGGCTCGGTTTACTCCATCGACCGCCGGTAACCTCGTAAATCGAGACACACTTTTAGCGGCTCGATTTTCGCTTTTTACTTTTCTTACCGACCGATCCGCCCGCCTTTTTCTATGTAACCGTTGCATTGTTTATGGTCCACGAAGTTAGCAGTAGGTTTTTTTTTTTTACTACGCATCTTAGAGGCTATGTTCGACGCTACGTTACGATAGTATAACATTATTCAGATTAATACGCAACAATACCTGATTATTGAGGAATGTCACACGGTGATTTGCATAAGTCTACTACGTAGACGGTGTTTGCGACATGTAAATTCGCGGGTATTTGAATGGGTAAATTGTAAACTCACCTTGGCGTCGAACGCGTCGGTGGGCATCCGTTGCACGCCGTTCATCTTCGCCGAGCAGACACTTTTTTTGTCCGAGACACTTCTTCACACCCTGTAGACGATCCCCGACAGTCGACGACCACGAATCTCGCAAATACGACACTTAAATGCACTTGGATTATTAAATAAATGTTCTCAACACGCTACACGGTGGCACGCGCGAACGCGATGTGAAAAATTCAAACACGAAGAAAGCGAGAGATAGACCGACACATTCACGTTCACGTGCCCTCGACAGCTGAAAGACATTTGCGTGTCTTTTGTTCACTCGAATTCGCCGTTTTTACATCTAGACACGAACCAAGGCGAAAGACCACGATAACCGAGTCGAACAACGACGATCGTGTCGATGTTATGCCGACGAAGGAAACACTGATTGCGACATGTGTGACACAGAGACAGACTTTAAAAACAACACGGTTATTTACAATCGTGCCGGCGCGTCGAAACACGATTAAACACGAACTAATCTCGCGAATGAGAAAACGTTCACGCCGAAACGACGATCGAGGTTAGATTTCGATCGAACGATCTCGAGGTTTTGCGAGCAACTGATTATCGATTCCCGTGAGCAAGCTCGAATCCGACACTCCATGTATCCGGTGGCATCGCGTCGGGCACACGCGAGAATCAACGTTCGCCGTTCCGAGGACAAGAAAACACGGACCGTTTCATGGAGAGGCACGCTTCGCGGTCTGCGATAAGAGATTTCAAACTCGTCGACTACGAGCTTCGGTGGTTCGCGCCTGCGCCGCGATATTTCGCTCGTTGCGTACCCCGAAACACGTGGTATCCTTCGGAACACCGCCCCCTCCACTTGCCAATAGTGTTCAGAAAACTTTTGAATATTTACGAAGGACGTAAAAGGTGTTTGACCGGTGGAATGTCACGACGATAGAGCCTTAATCGAAAATAAGCAGGCTCGTATTGCAGAAGCTCGAGTTATAAAGTGTGTACGTTTCGTGTCGTAACACGGAATGAAGTTTTCAGGGATAGATTCTGATCCGGTAGAATGCTAGAAAGGACTCCGACCGAAAGATACCACGGGCAGGTACCACGAAGGCAGGCTACTCGAAAACTCGGCGTGCTCCATGTCAAGGGGGAGGGAAACAGGTTTAAGAACCGTAGTTGACCGGTCGCCTTTTAAATCGGTCATCTGTCTAGCCGGTATAGAAATTACGTCGATACGGAATCAGGCACTTGTGGCACGGGGGACTCGAAACTCACTGAAAAATGTAATCTGCCGTGGAACCGGTAACTCGCCGCGGACGAATTAAAAGGAAGGTGAACGTGTTCACGTACGTACGATGCTTTCGTGACACCGAAGAGGAAGGAGGACACGTTGTACTCGCGATCAAAGATACGATACGTCAGCCTACCTATGGATAGGCACATGGCAGGCATGTCCCTGCCACAGGATTATACGTAGCAGCCGGCGTACGGGCGCTCCGCGTCGCGACTGCCGGCGCGGCTAAAAAACCATACGATGACCTCATCACACAGAGTCTGTTCTCCTGCCCATGTCACTACTAGCCAGGATGCCTACTACTAGCCATCCTGAAAACATCGTTACCACCGTCGTCTCCTGGAGGTTACTGTTCGCGTTATCGCTTATCTGGAGTATCCTGTCCAGACTCCAGGACAACAGGACACTAGGATCGCGGCTACTTTCAAATCTCTTTTCACGGTCGCTTCGAAAATACCCGCCTTTCCTTTGCATCTTGATGCACTTGCAACTGCTTGGCTGCCTCTGAAATGAAATAGAGAAATATATATAGGACTTGCAAATTTTTATAACACGACAAGTATCGATATGAAATTCTGTTTAACTCGAGGTTATTTTCTGCCTTATTGTAATTCTATTTTTTCTAGAAACAACGTAATTTTTGAATAAACATGGTAAATAAGCTATGGCGTATTATTTATTATTTCAATATTTATCTGTGTTGGTGCATTATTTTTATTTTTCCACATCGGCTTTGTAATTGCGCTTGTAGTTCAAATTGTATAAAGCGATAAACATGGTTTAGAGACATATTTTAATTAAACATTCCACGCAAGTCAAAACGGAATAGTATGGCTAGACGCGTGTGATGTGAGCGAAGTGTAATGGACACTTTATAGATCTACCAGATTTACAAATTGCGTCAAAAAATATATTTAATGAAATTGTTTGTTACAATGTTGTATCTCTTTATTGATATCTGCGCATCTTGACGAAGGACATTTTATTGTTGTAAAATTTGCGATCACTGTGTATATGAGAGGTTATGTACGATGTACTGTGCTGAGAAATTGTTATAATAAAATCGTTTACAAAAATCATTGCCTTGAAAATATACGTACTTGCACATATATAAAAACACTTTGTTTATTGATAAAAAAAATATTGTAATACTTCGTTTCAACTGTTAGTTAAACAGTAACATATAACAATGGCTTCTGACAAATCTGATAATTCGAGTAATATACTTCCTTCGAATGTAAAAATAAAAGTAGAACCTGGAACATCTATGCCTGTACCTTTAAAAAACATTAAAACAGAGCCTGGTTTATCAACCACTACAACCAGATTGACCTCTTTCCGTTTACCAAGAGATTTAACACTGGGTGGCAACATTAAAACTGAGAAGCCCAAGAAAGTGTACACACCAAATTTAAATGCTCAAAGATCAAAGAAGAAAGAGTAAGTTAATTTAAAAAAAATTGAGGATTGAATCTTTGTGTTCATCAAATAATATCTCTTTCAGTGATGTGGCACAAAATGAACCTGCAAAATCAGGTAGAGGTAGAGGTAGAGATCATAATAGAGGACGTGGCAGAGGCAATGATAGAGGACGTGGGAGAGGAGCTAGCAATTTAATTCAAGTACATAAAAAATGTTCTTTCAGAAAATGCAATGTTGTTTTACAACATTCTATGTGCATTTTGTTGTAGTCTACTGGTATATGGTCTACTGGTATAACAAGCACAGCAGGAAAACGCTATAGTGGAGGTGGTGGTGGTTCTGGGGATAGTGATAGAAGTATTCCAATAATTCTAGAAAAACCAAAATTAGATTTGAACCGGGTTATTAACAAAGCTGAAGAAGAACAACAACTAAAAATGATATTGAGAGATGATTTTATTGATGATGATGAACCAGTGAATCTTGATAATGGCCCTGTTATACTACCAATGGTCAAAGAAGGTTTTCTATTACTTTTTAAACTATTAGTTTGCACTGTAATAAGAATACATGTATTTAATTTTTCTTTATTACAGCAAAGTTATATAAGGAAGAAGCTAAGGTAAAAGTTCCAGAAGAAGAAGAAGCAGAAGAAGAAGTAGATAAGAAACCAATTCTTCTGGAAAATGGAGAAGGTAAGTATGATCTTGTTGTATTCACTGATGTTTTATGATAATTAGTCATTGTTTTTTAGCATTGCCACCAAAGAAGGAACCTAAATTTAAAGTGTCTAAACCTGACACAGACACGAAATGTGAACAGTTAGATACCATTCCGAAAATTATGGAACATGAACCAAATTCTTATATTTTAATGCAGGTTAGATTATTTATTAAAGCCGGTACGTATTCTTATGTATGTTCGATATATCGTGTAACAAATCAATCACAGTTTCCAGATTGTTTGCCAGGTTTAGTAGGTAGTGCAGACGACACTAGACCAAGTCGTTCAAATACCGGAAATTACGATAAACAGAATGAAAACACGCCTCAAACGGAATTTTGTACACTAAATAGTTTAAAACCTGGTATTCTAGGCAAATTACAAATCTTAAAATCGGGTAAAGCTCGTTTAGTGTTGGGTGAAAACAATTTGATTGTAGATGTGGGATCTCAACTTAGTTTTCGGCAAGTACGTATTGCAAAATAAAAATAAACATAAGGTGGCGTTACAGCGATAATAATTTATATTGCAGGACCTCATTGCCGCGAAACTAGATACCGAAAATTTAAATGGCGAGCTGATTAATCTAGGTCCAGTGAATAGTACACTAATATGTTCACCAGATTGGGAATCAATGTTGGCCAAATTGTAAATACGCTTGCAATACGTGTAGATTTATTCAGTGTTGCTTATTGTGAAGATTACGCGAAATGTGATGAATTTATACATTTAAAATATAAATTGCTTTTTTTTTGTTGAAAATTGTGTATTTTCGATACTACAACATACGTGAAGTGTCACGTACAAATTCAGTAGGAATTCGTAAGTCTAAATAAATTTACAGTGATTGTAGGTTAAGTCCATTATATAATTTGTGTACGAATATCGTAACAAGAGGGTGTGATAATTTCTTATAACATACGTAATATTTATTTTTAAGACGCAATTTATTTTTTTGTTTTGGCTTAATTTCTTGAAAATTATTTTTACACAAATCAGCTTTACAAATGAACCTCGTATCGCATTACAAAATGAACATTAAATCATCAACTTATAAACTACAAAAGGATACTATATATTTGCTCAGGTGTCAACTTTGAAAAATGTAAAAGTCGTACATTAAAGTGGCACAAGAAATTACTGTTTCTATTGTAGTAACACACACTACTTCTGTTTACTAAGTTAAAAGAACAACTATTGCATTCAACTTCGTAATCTTAATGTTTAAAGTTCATAAAAATTAGGGTCTTGTTTTCCATCCAAAAAAGGACGAACCTTTTTCGTAATGCCAGACTTATTTTGCACAAGAAAGTGTGACACAATAATCCTACTTACTGATAAAAATAAACAGAAACGTATTCATGATACAGTTAGAGCAAGTGCATTGTAATACAGAGGTACACACACATTACACACCCTCGTTAATAAATCACACAAATTCTCAATCACTTCGTTCTATACTGTGTCCTTTTTTCATTGATTTCAATGCTTTCTCGCGAAGCTTTTTTTCCAGTTCTTCGGTATTACCTTCACTTACATCAGACTCGTCAGAGTCTGCAACCTTCTTCTTTTTGTGCTTCCTGTGTTTCTTATGCTTCTTATGTTTCTTGTGCTTTTTATCTTTCTTCTTTTTCTTTTCTTCCACTTCACTCTCCTGAAAATTCAAGTTTATAACTAGTAAATATTTTGTAACTCGTAAACATCAAACACCAAACAACAAAAAATTACCTCTGATTCACTGGTACTTGTTTTGGTCTTCTTTTTACGTTTTTTCTTTACTTTTTCCTCGTCTGAACTGTCATCCGCTTTCCTCTTTTTCTTTGCATCTTTTTCTCCTACTTCTTCATCCTCTGTACTCGAGTCCCGTTTAGACTTTTTCAGTCGTATTTTTCCTTCATCCTCGCTTGTCGATTCCTTCCTCGACTTCCTTGTTCTTGATTTTTCATCTTCCGAGGAACTATCTCTTCGTTTTCGTGTCTTCTTCGGTTCGTCATCTGAACTTGAATCTTTTTTAGATTTCCGTAATCTGGACCTGTCATCTTCACTTTTTCGTTTCACTTTTTGATCTTCATCTCCCGACGAAGAATCTTTCCTAGATCTCTTCGATTTCTTCGTTTCCTCTTCCAATTCTTTCTTCGATCGCTTACGAGACTCGTTTTCATTGACTTCCCTCTTCCTGTTATCTTTTCTATCCTTGCTACGGTCATCTAACAAATCTATAAAAATTACAAGAATTGCGAAGGTTCTAATTTTGTTTCCCATGTTAATAAATCAAAATTTACCTCCGCGATTTGAATCCCTAATTTTTTTGCTCTTTTCAACGTGTTTCCTGTCCTCTTCGGAATCTGAGCTAGAACCACCTTTGTCTGATTTGTCCTCATCTGTAGAAGCTTTCCTAGATTTTCTAGATTTCTCTAATTTTCTTGGTCTCTTCTTTCCTAAAGTATCAAAATAATATAAAAAATATTGAAAAAACATATATATACGTTCGATTTTGTCTTACCTTCGCTTTCACTGTCATTCGAATCCGTAGAACCGTCACGTTTTTCCCTCTTTGATTTCTTGATCACTTCTGCGGGTTTCTTCAATAGAACTGGCTCTGACGACTTTTGACCAGACTTCTTATCATCGGACGCAGTCTTGATTGATTTGATCGACTTGTCATCTTTTTTCAACGGGAAAGTATCTCCAGATGAGAAACTCGATTCTTCTTTCGGCGATTCTTCTTTGTTATCTTCTCTGGAAACAAAGAATCATCAAATAAATTAGACAATTTTTTACACGTTGAAAAGTGTCCAAAAGATTTATTAACTTACTTCGATGGCTGTTTAATTTTAACTGCAGCTATAATGTCTTCAGTCTTTTTAAACGGTGACGGCGTTCGTGACAAGCTCTTCGAAAACTATACACACACAAAAAAAAAAAAAAAAGAAATTAATAACGATTAAAAAAATACATAGAAATATTCAAAGTACAAAGAGATTACTCTGAAGAACTTACTCTGTGCCTAGTTACAGGAAGTGTAACAGGTTGAAGTTTTTTAGGAGACACGCTAGGATCTGGTTTCTTGATGCCTGCAGGTTCAGCCTTCTTGACGTCCTTCTCGGGTCGCTTAATGGGTTCCTCCTTGGCAGGCTTCTCCTTTTCTTTGCGTTTGTCATCCGCGTGCTCCCGCTCCCTTTCGCGTTCTCGTTTCTCTTGAGACGATTTCCGCTCAAGTGACTTTCTGCACACAGACAACAAGAAGTATCATAAGAGAATGCAAGAACGTCCATTCGCTGCTAAGCAGGAAACACAACATAGCTGCTTTTTACGCTCCGACAATCGTAAGGTCTGTAACAAAACACGAATGTGTGAGATGATTTGTTTACTCACCTGACCACTTCATCCTCATTGCTAGAGGAACTACTTTCGCTACTTTCCGAGCTACTTGACTTAGACCTTCCATTTCGCAATTCTTTTCGCGATCCTGTATCAGTCGATCTTTTAACTTTTTCATCCACTTTCTTGTCCTTCAGCTTTTCCTTAGCATCTCTTGAGCGATCGGGAGATCGTTTTCCATCTCTCGAACGATCCACCGATGACCTCTGATCTTTCGATCTGGATCTACGATCCCTAGATCTAGATCTCCGATCTCTATCCCTCCTGTCCCTGTCTCTGGAACGGTCTCGCCTACTCGATCTGTCACGAGAGGAAGATCTATCGTACCTGAGGGATCGATCCCGTCCGTCTGGCGAACGACGTCTGCTGTCACGACGATCCGGTGATCGACGCCTATCTCTCCTCTCTGACGATCTTCGCCTTCTATCGATGGACCTTCTCCTGCGTCTGTCCCCGGGACTTGGCGATCTGCGACGATATCTCGCGGGACTTCTACGAGGTGGGCTTCTGCAACAATTTTCATTTGTATCAATGACATTTATTTACCTATAGTTATGTCTTCGTTAATTATAATTTATCTTACCTTCGTCTGCTAGGTGCTCTACGCACAGATGGAGGTCGCATGCTGCGACTACCGCTGTATCTGTCCAATCTCTCCCGCTCCCTTTCTCGTTCCCGTTCACGCCTCCTTTCTCGTTCCCTATCTATGGATCTCCTGAACAGATAATTAATTCAAGAGTTAATTTTTATCGCAATAAATATCTGCGATACAAAAATACCATTACACACCTCCTATTTCTATCTCGAGATCGATCACGTGACCTATCTCGGGATCTATCACGTGATCTATCTCTCGATCTGTCTCTGTCCTTGGATCGACCTCGGTCTTTTCGTGGCGTAGGACTTCTTCTTTTAGGGACAGATTTTCTTTCACGACTCGAGTCACTGTCACTACCACTGTCATCTTTATTAGTCTTTCTATACGACCTCTTCGCCTGCACTCCATCCTTCTTCTTTCTGATTTCGAAATCGTTCTTGTCTTTCGCCCCTTTGTCTTCCTCCGATTCGGAACTACTGCTTGTACTTGCATCTCGTTTCCTGTTGGAATCGAGATTATCCTTTCTCTTATCGGGTGATTTCGAGCGGGACTTTGACGACCTGGAATCGCTCGAATCGGACCTCGATTTTCTGGACTTACTTCTATCATTGCTTTTCGATCTGGACTTTTTAGATCGCGAACGAGATCTCGTGCGTGACCGTGGCGATTTAGATTTCGTACGTCTCGATTTCGAGCGATCCTGTGACCTAGACTTGGATCTTCTGGATTTTGATCTAGACCTGGATCGTCTTGATCTTGATTTCGAACGAGATCGTCTTGACTTCGATGCAGGCGATCGAGAACGACGAGTTTTCGAGTCTCGACTCGGTGATTTCGATCTAGACTTTTTGGAGCGACTTATAGGCGATTTCGATCTAGATCTAGATTTTTTCGCTTTTTCCAGTGCCTCGGGAGATGGAGTACGATTATTTTTCTTCTTCCCATCGGCTATGCTCATTAATTTAGCTTGCAATCGCGATATCGCAACAGCAGCTTCCCTGTTGAAACACCTTAATAAATAATCTTTCAGAGATTATGTTACATAATGAAACATAGATACTTACGGTTTTGTCTTGACAGGCATAAGTGGTATAGCATTTTCAGGTTGAGGCGAGTCTTCCCGTTCCACTTTAACCTCTGGCATATCTTTCCCGTTATCCTTAAGTGAATTTTTACTAGGTGATCTCGAAGAGGATCGCCGCTTGCGACTCGATCTATCGCGGTCTCTATGTCGATCTCTCGATCGACTGCGTTTTCTGCAAGTAGCGGTATGAATATCTTAAAGTAAAATTAAGAGTGAGTATATTTCAGAATTCAAGGAAGTACCTGTCCCTATCGCGATCTCTACTTCGGTCTCTCCTACGCTCCTTCGATGAACCACGTTCTTTCTCTTCCTTCTTTATCTTGCTTTCTGCTTCATCTTTCTCTTTTTCCCTTTCCTTTTCCTTCTCTTTCTCCGCCAAAGAAGCTTGTAGCTTCTCTTGTTCTTCCTAATTTGATATACCGTGACTTAAGATGTGTATAATAAATCACTTATTCGTAACTAACCATGAAATATCTGAACTGAATTTACATGCATACAGAAGCATTCAATTGAACATTTTAATGAATGCTAAAATCTAGTTATTCGACTGTTTTTTTTTTTTTACTATCAATCAGATTAGTTCATGCGATAACGCGGTGTAATGCTCGTGAATTCTAAGCTCGGTCTACTTGTTACGATAACATGTTAAAAAGAAAATAAGGATGTAAAAATGGATAATTACCAAACGTTTTTTAATCTGATCTTTTTTTTGTTGCAAGAAAGCCTCTGGAATGCCCGTGACACTTTCCTGAGCAGAGACCAAAAGGTCCCATAATTCACCCATGAAAGATCGGGCATTCCTTCCATTCAGGAAGCCTGTGAGGTTGATCTGCATTTTTCGGGGATCGGGAAACTGTAAAATATACAGTATTTCTCTTTAACTTTTCTCTACACGTAATCCAGTAGTGTTATCATTATCGATCAATAAACGTTCGTACGGTTTTTACGGAATTTTGACACGAGAAGTGGAATTACAACGTAGATTTATATATTTTTTTTTTTTTTTTACATTTCTAATTATACCTTACCATCAACAGTGAACTGCTCATTTTCACGTTCTGTACTAATATGGTATACGCTAAGAAAAAAATATATTATACTCATCGATAAACGCACAAGTAGCACAGATACATTGATACCTTCTGAATTTTTTTAATAATACCGCTAAGGTAGATGCTGAAATGGGGCTTAGAAATATTGTGTTGATAAGTGTTAGCTGAAAATGAAAGGATTAATTTGGAATAGAAGGAACACCTTTCCACCAACCTGTGTTGTTGACAAAGAGTGTCAAACCGAGTAGAGATACCTCCGGCATCGTCCATCAGTCAATCGCATCTGTGATTGACCGCATATCTGGAGAATCATTAACTGGAGAACAGACCTGCACGACGAAAGGATCCTTGATTCCTCGGGCAGATGTTGTCCGGAGGCACGAAGAACGGAGAAACCTGCGTCTCAGGTGAATCAGCTGGATCGATGTCCTCGTGGGATGATCGCAGCATCTGCGTGGTAGACAGCGGTAGTCGTTCCTTCTTGCTCGAGCTCGAAACGTCGATTGCCAGTGCGGACGATGGATGATCGAAAGCCACGAGACAGCTTTCGCAGTTGCAATCTTGGTGCGTAACCACCTCGAACGAGGCAGCGGCGAGTAGGCGAAGACAGCGATCGGTGCAGCAAGTAGACGACGCAGTTACGGGAACGCAGAGGCCTCGGGCAGAGCTCCGTACAAAGATGAGAAGAGCAGGAACGGCATGATGCGACGAGATTATTGCGTATACGGCGATTTGTCCGGTGACGATGATGAATCGATGGTGGATGAACTGCTGAGGCTGAAGATTCAGCAGTGTTCTAAGATGACGTTGACATACCAGCTGGCATCAGCTAGCGTTGACGGCTGATAGAAAGGCGGCCAATCGGATGCAGAGAGGAGCACATCCGAATGCCATTTGGACAATAGGGTTGAGCCCCACCAACGGTCTCTACTTATACTAACGGGGAATTCAAACATACGTGATAAAAAATTGTTTTTGCATGTTACAGTGTTGCAGGATCAGCTACATCAGTTTTTTTCTTTTGTTGGTAACAGGATATAGCTTGGACGGAATACTTAAGGTTGATAAAAGTAGGATACACAGGATATACAGGAACGATGATATATTATCAAAATTTAAAAAAAAAAAAAAAAAGAAAACAATGAGGCAAATATGACTAATATGGACTCTGCCTCCTTGCTTTTCATCTCCAAAGTCAGCACATTGTGCAGATTTTGGATGATAGCATTTGTAACTGGTACAAAACATTGTGCTGAAATAATGTGTATTTATCGATTTCCTATGATGAGGGGAAAAAGCCAAGTGAACGCATTTTTATATTCCATAATATTAATTTACAATCTCTTAAGGCCTAATTCTAATCGAATAGGTAATGTAACAAACTTCTTACCTTTTCCTCCAGTTGATTATATACAAATTCTACCACTACATCATCCTCCATGCCTAAAATCTGGGTGATCTTCGTAGTGATCCATGGTTTAATAACATCCAGTTTAACTTTGCTCATATCCACCTAGAAATGGAGTAATTTATAGTGAACGTTGAAGTTGTAAATAATTTACGACCAATCAATTATAAGACGGTATAATCGAAGTATTTGCAGTTTAAATATTTACTTTCTGTGTAAGAGTAGTCCCCTGCAATTCGGCAATTGGAAATTAGGTAATATGAAATAATCAAACGCAGGAATTTGACGGAATTCGAATTACGCGAGGAACTGCACTCTATCTGCATCAAAATTTCGACAAACTTACCGTGTACATCATCTTGGTAACGTGAAGAGACCAAAGACAGCACAACGTTCGATGTTAACTGGCGATGTTCCAATCCTTTGCTCCAACGACGAATAGAAATGCTAAAGAACGCGTTACAAGGTAGTGCGTATCTACCTATCCGCGGAACGACGTACAGTTTCGTATATACAAATATCGAACGTTAGAACGAAGCGTATACGAACGCGGACGCACAATAGATCAATCGGTCAACATGGCGGTCGTGTCGTTAAAACAGGAAGTTGAAGTTGCTTGGTAATAAGCAGTGTTACCATCGCTTGCTACTATTACCAACATACTAATCTATCGTAACACCATATTCTGGCAAGAATTTCGATTTCGCGAATATATTTTACGATTTATGTAATCCAAAATCTTCTTGTCGTAATAAAACATACGTTACGTTTTTACCATTAACCAACCCGTTTCAATTATTCACTTGAGAAAAGTGAAAGACGAGGAAAAAGTTGAGATAAAAGTCGCTAGAATTTTGGCGTGTTTTATACGAATGTTTTTTGCGCGTCTTTCAATAGAAGGGGAACTATTCAAATAGTCGCTTCGAAATGGCCCGCATACATGTTTCTCTGGTGTACGTATACGCGCTTATTTTTTCCGGTTATCGGTATTAATTGTGCACGCGTCGTTTTTGGTACCGTTAGCCGCTTAAAATAGATTTCAAGGTACGTATTCATACTCGTTCCTGGTTCTGTCGAACCAATTGCGTGACGAATCGAAATAGTTCCGTTTCGTCGGCATTTTAAGGGATAACAGAAGGAATGATGGAATCTGGTACGGAATAAGTCGAAGAAAATATTCATTCGTATAATACATCGTAATCTAGTAATAAATTATAAATATATACTTGCATATTACAACTATAGATACAAAAGGATGACATGCGATATGAAAGAATCGTTCGTTGCACGTGTAACATTCCGGCGTTTCTCTATTTATCACTTTCCCCGTACGGCACTGACACAGAACGTTGACATGCGAAATCGTGTTTCTATACGGTTTCCTCTTACTTTACAACTGATCCACGAATTCTTCCTCAAATTACCGTACGTTTAATCAACAATCTACATCTTTCGTTAAAAAATCAACGATAACGAATTACCGTTAAATTAACATACGAAATCGAAAGACATTTCGTTTAACTTCCATATTTAAATGTAAACGACGTTACAAAAAATTTCAGTTGCAACAACGGCCACGTGTTTAAAATAAGCATGAGAGAATAAAAATGATGGAAGATAATGAATCGTCGATTGGAAGAGGATGTGTAAGAACAGAAGACTGTCGACGATTAAGTGGCACGGCATGAATGAACAGCACACGACTCGGCTGCTTTTGGGCGTCGGATGGATCTCGTCTATGAAATAACCAAGTGAAGTAAATCGAGGTGAAGGGTCCCGCAAACCGGATAACGGTACGTTATACTCATCGGAATTCATGGTACGGTCCATTCGTACTGCGACTGCACGTCCATCCTGTTTGTCGGTACGATTCCGACTCGAGCTTCCAGGGTCCGGTTTCTGAGAAGCATAAGCGGGCCAGTAGCGTGTCCCAGCGCTGATTCAACTGACGCGGGAATAAGAACGAACCTTCTCTCGCCATTTTCCAACTTACCCTATTACCATTTTTTTTTCTCTTTCTCTTTTTTTACATCATGTACAATCACGAGAAATTCCTCTTTTTTTTCCTAATGAACGCTCACGAGGATTTCAATGCTTGCAGAGGGAGAAAAAAATTAAAAAAGAAAAAAGAAACTAAGTTAAAGCCGGATCTTTCGTTCGTTGAACGACCAATTAATCACCGGCGTTTGCACTGCGCGAAGAAAATGAATGCCAGAGGATTACGTTGCGACGAACGAAACAGAACGGGCATGGTTGTATGACGATGAACGTGAAGCAGTCGACGAAGAACTGGAGGAACGCATTAACAACGTTTCCGCCTCGTTACGACGCAGTCGTGGCGAATGATATAACTTCGTGATGCCTTTCGAAAGAATCTGCCGGCGATACTTCTCGCGGAGCACTGTTACAAGCCGTTCTATACACCTGCTTCGAAACCGGCTCACGGGCAGGTCTAGTGAACTCGATCGGATTCCGAGACCGGATTCCGCGAAACGACCGCCGCTGCTCCGATTTGTTTTTTCACGCTGAAATAACTTCTTCTCCAATTTATCTTATTTTTTCCTTTGTTTCTTTTCTATTTTAGTCACGATCAAGGTGGGACAAACAGGGATGAAGCAGTTGCGTTAGCAGTTGGACCGTGAAGCACGTCTAATTGCCGTTGTTTCGTTTCGACCAGTCTTATATATATACACAAGAGAGAAATTGAAGGAAAATATATAAATTGGTAAGCAACTCGTGGATCAGAGGATCGATACGATTCGAACGACGTTTACCGACGCGTAGAAAGAGTCTTTATATCTCGACGCTTAAATTGTCTAATACGTGTTGACCCGAAGCAACCAAGAATTTCCGGAGAAACTCGTGATCGCGACGAGGAGTCTTCAGCGTTACGCTAGAAAGGTGTCCCTCTTGGAAATCGTGCGATACCTGTGGACCAAACTAGGGAAGTTGATCGAGGTCCACGGTAAAAGTTACTTCCCCATTGTTGGAAAGCATGGTGTATACACAACCAAAGAGCAAAATCGTTCATATTCCAGGATTTCTCTCGAGAAATCATCTTCTAGCAGACTTCAATACTGGTCTCAGCATTCTTTTGCTAGCTCCGTCAAAGAGGTTACTAGGTCCCTCAGCGAGGTTGTTCGAGCTTGGGGGTCACCATCCACCGATTTGTTCGCCGTGGTTCGACGCTCTGCTCGAGCATCCTGTCCTGTCCTCTCGGAATTGCGAAAGTGTCTGTGTGTCTGTGCGGATGATACTGGCTGCGTGCTCGATGCCAGAGATCGACCCGGGTTCGACGAACGTTTAAAAGCTTGGAACGGCCGGAGGCTCCGACGTGGCGCTCGCCGAATTTCTCGGCTTGCAGACGCAACCGCTCTCGACCAGAACGTAATCTTGCCCGGTCAAGGTCACCGGTCCGAGCGGAATCACCAGAAACAGGTACGGCACGTACGTCTGCGTGCACTCGCCATGGACCACGTCGCACTCTTTCGACCTGGAACAAAGCGTGAAACGTTTGTATGCCACCTGGTCCGCAGATGGAAGAGCGAACACGCTCTGATGACGAGCGGTGATAAAAAATCAAGTCGCTACTCGAGAGTCACCTATGTGTGACTCACCAATCCTGATAGCTGCTCTGTTAATCGAGAGGGGAGCGAGTTAACTCTAGATTATCAATTAAAATTTCTACCGATTTCTAATTGCACATTCGAGAGAGGGAGACAGAGAGGCATTGAACGATCGACCGATAAACGAGCTGGCAGATTAAGAATTCAGTTAGATGCTTCCTTAGCTTTCTCGCGATTGGCAATTTGCTGGTGGTCCGCGACAAATCGTGCCTCCAATAACCGAGCGCGTAAATACCGGCCCGAAAACGGTCGAAAAGTAGGCTCCGCCTCGGTCACGAACGCACAAACTGGTAGACCAGTTCGGCCCACTGTGCCACATTCGTATCGACACACAGCTCGCACCAGTAGGTCTCGATGAATTTCAATTGGAATCACGTCGCGTGTATTTACAGATCACGAGGCAGACGTGCTAAGAAAGTAACAGTGGATAACGATCCGGTGCTCGATATGCTGATGCGAGAACAGATAAACGACGTGTACATCGATACCGTCGGGGTTTACGATACTCACTCGCAAACCTCGAACACCACTTGCTGAAGAAGATCTGGGAACTTTTGTACGATCGTCACCGGTTGGCCGCTGGTTAAACTCACTCCGTACATGGGCGCCGTGGTGTTGTACCTCGTTTTGCATAATCTGGCTGGCGAGCCGCACGTCTCCTTCGGGGAGAATGCTCTACCTGCAAACAAACAGAAATATCTCGATGTATGAGAGTGGTAATCGTCGGATATTTAGCTCGGAGGTTCTACCGGTCCTACTAGTTTCGCTGACCTACAAACTAGTTGGCAAAACGAGCAATTACGCGGTTGAAAAGAAGAAAAGAACGATAGAAGAAGAATATTCTAAGGCCGTGTAAAAGGAGGAAAGAATTTTCCGAAGAATTAAGAAGAAAACGGGTAACCAGTTCACGCGAGATTAGCGCCCTTTCTTCGGAATTCCGTCGGCTCGTGTGTTCGAAACGACGAGTGGGTCGCCGGTGTCCCGTTATGAGGAGAACGAGCGATAACTGTATTGGCCGGATAACACGGTGCCTTATTACCGTCCTCCTGCACCGGTGAGCCATTATCCAAAGGACGGAGGAGAGAATCGATGCCTCTTCTTCATCCGAGGCTGATGCATCTTTCGCGAGCACACGGCCCACGGAGTATCAATGGAATCCATCGAGCAAGAGTCGCGAGAACACGCGCGTAGCGGGTGTTGTGCACGGTTGGAACCAGGTTTTCGTGTCATAAGGACAGCTGCATAATTCAAGGCTGCGAGGTGCCGGTACATCGCGCAACCGGTCGTTCCTATTTTTATGGATTTTTCAGCCTGCCTTCCCGATAATGTTGCAAATGACGTCGAGTAAAGTGTAGGACGAGCGTTCGAGGAGCCGCATAATCTTCCCAGACACCCGGTAAACGTCCAAGTGTCTTCGGAACAGGCGCACGTTCCTACAACCCGCTGCTGATCGTTCTTATCGTCGTCGGCGCAACGGTATCGTAAAGAAGCGTTCACGCGGCAACGCGAGTCCTTTTTACGGGGGCAAAAAAAAAAAGGAAAAACAAGGTACATTCCCTCCGTGTGAACTTCCGAGAACACGGATCGAGGAAACGGCGGCGCACGAGAGGCAAGAGAATGTTTGCATATTACCAAGCACGGTACAATAACCTCGTAAAGCGCACGTGAACGCATTTGCCTGATAATAGCCTGAAGGAGCAACTGCAATAATTATAAATTAATATCCTCTCGCCCAACATTGTACGGTATGTCTGGCTGCACCGGCACACGGATACACCTTGTACCGATATGCAGATCAGCTATTATATAAGATTATATTTGAACGAAGCGGCGGCAAACGACAGGATAAATAAATTACGGAAGGTTCGACGAGGATGTAGGTTATATAGCCGCGTGTAATTATTCGTGATTCAGGTAACCGGCTCGACTACTGTTGCGCCTCGACACAAGAGGGACAAGTTCGTCTTCCGCGTGTTTCCAGGCGAGCCACGTTCCTCCGCTTCGATCGTGATCCGTTAAAGTATTCTTCGGCCAAACGGGGGAAACATGCTTCGAATTAAATCGCGAATTTTTCTCCAACAACTGGTCTCGGCGATGATATACAGTCTTACAACGAATAAAAGCAAATGTATATAGAGATCTGTTCAACTCACCGTTTCGCGAGGATTCCGCGATCGAGTAGTCTCCATGAGCGATCTTGTAATTGTGCAAAAGTGCCTGCCTCGTCAATTCAGGATCGATCGTTCGTGGCTGATGAGATCTCGCGCTTCGACCGCCCGCCCACAAGCTCTTGTAACTCCTCGATATCGCGGCTCTAAGGCAGTCGTTCGTTTTGATAACGGTATCGCGAGTAAACTCTCTGGAATGATACATGGAGGAACACTTACGACGGATACTGGACGTTGTTCGGGCCTATACAATCCGCAGGATCCGTGAGCGCGTCACCCCACACGTATTTCAAACCTAGCCCACTTCCCTCGCACTTTTTCGTTTCGTGCATGTGGACGCACGTGAGGATAACGAGGATCAGACCGACGTACCTGGACATCTGAAAAAGAGATTCAACACAGGAAGGAAAGACGATGAGAACGGCACACTTCGATCGGATTAGAATAAGTTAATTGAAATTGGAAAGCGCGCGTCGAGTGTGAATTCGATTGGAAAGAGAACTAGGCTGGCTGCTCGATATGATAATAACAACGAGAATCTCACCTGGATACCGTGAAACGAAAGCGTGGTAACGGACAGATGGTTGTTCGCGTAGGTATCGAGAGCCACGTATTCCTGCGACCAGTGTATTAACGAGATGGCTAATTACAAGCGGCGGT